ATTCTCCTTTTTAGAGCAGAGGTGAGAGAGACAGCTTTTAGCTGAGGGCTTGGGAGGGTATCAGGAAACACAGGGCTTAAGTACAGGAACTAAACTAAACGAGAACTAAACGAGACAACGAGTCCTTATGGTGTTCACAGTATAGTGGACTCAAAAGAGAATACAGTCCTTTTATTGGTCTTCTTGAGCACTGAAGTGATCTCAGGCACTTTCTTGTTCACACCACAACTTCACAAGAACTCAAACCCCAGCTTTCTGTGCAGCAGTGAAACGCTGGAGTCTGACCTACTGGAAAATTTGGAAGATGAAGTGGACAGTGAAGGGGATGAGGAAGAGCTTTATCCAGAGCTTTAACAACACATTTCAATCAAATTTACAATTAAAAACATTTGAGAAACTGGGTAAAGGAAGGCACATGGGGAGAGAAACACAAGACACAGGAACACAGGACTGACAGAGTCCTTATGGTGTTCACAGTATAGTGGACTCAAAAGAGAATACAGTCCTTTTATTGGTTTTCTTGAGCACTGAAGTGATCTCAGGCACTTTCTTGTTCACACCACAACTTCACAAGAACTCAAACCCCAGCTTTCTGTGCAGCAGTGAAACGCTGGAGTCTGACCTACTGGAAAATTTGGAAGATGAAGTGGACAGTGAAGGGGATGAGGAAGAGCTTTATCCAGAGCTTTAACAACACATTTCAATCAAATTTAAAATTAAAATGGAACGTTATCTGTAAAGTTAATTGAACTTCCTTTTTTCTCAGATAAGATAGTATTCAAATGATGTCAACACTGCCTTGTGAATTGTACTAATATAATGGCTTCGATACTGAATCGCTACATTATATTTCTCGGCATCTAGGGGGTAAAATCACTGTTTTTGAAGTAACTAAACTCACAGCTTCACTGTTTGCAGAGTGCAATTCACACACAACTTTCATCTCTCTCTCTCTCTCTCTCTCTCTCTCTTGTTAATTATTTCAAAACAATGCTATAATTCAAGCATTCAAATAAATGTGATCTTACAGCACTACTTCATCTCTGTGTCTGATTTAAAGCGGGTGGTTTGTTGCCTCCATGTCATGCACTAAAATTATATAATGCACAGCTAGCCGTAGATTACATAAATGTAAAGAAAAACTTCATATCATATACAAAAATAATTTATTTACTAGAAAAATGTAGATACACAACACAGTATTTCTGAATTTTTTTTTTTAAATAATAATAAAATATATATATTTTTTAAATCCGTTAATTAGAGATGATTTTGATTATTAAAATTTAATGAAACCATTCAAATGGAATCCAGAAAATTAATGGAAAACACAGAATTTGGTAAAAATAAAATGAAAAAATGAGATGTAAGTTTTGTTAAACTTTTAATAAATTGTGTAAGATTCATGATTTCAATTAATTAGACATGTTTTTTAATTCATATTTATTCATTTAACCATTAAAACAGAGTCTAGAAAAATTTAAATGTAAAAAACGGAATTTGGGAAAAATTTAATGGGCCCTAAGTAAGGTTTGCTTTTGGGTCCCTTTAGGTGGGGGGGCTCTGAGAGCGTTTGGAGGGTTAAAACGAACTAGGTGTGAAAATTCCCTATTAGAAGTTGAGTAAATATGCCACTCACACAAATGGAGTTAAGCACAAAAATGACATCAAATCAATATCCAGAAATTAAAAATTAATATTATAAATATTAAATATAGTAATTTGCAGCCAGAAGGGATGCTTGAACCAGCCTGACCAGTCAAATGACTGAGATCTAATGCTGAGGTCTGAGGATGTCCTCGTATTGAGCACATTAGTATGAATGAGGCTTGTGTGAATAGCATATATTTCTATGCTTCTACCTCCTCAGCGCATTGCTCGGTCACTTTAAAATAAAATAATCTGATTTTCAGTACACAAACCAGCTAATTGCACATATTCATAAAGTCTGTCTCTGTGAATATTATACAGCTGACCCGACTGACAAGATCAGAATGACAACAAATGTGCACAATACTTTTTATTGAATAATCAGTTCAATACAAAAAGGTGTAGCGTCTGGACCAATCAAACACACAATTTTTCATTTGATTTAACAAATCAGTTATTCATTAGATTAACAAATCATCACAGACCCCTCACCCAATAAACTGGGTGCCAGGATGTCTGCGAACGACACCAGGCCCCAGTTGACCTGACTGACAAGATCAGAATGACAACAAATGTGCAAAATACTTTTTATTGAATAATCAGTTCAATACAAAAAGGTGTAGCGTCTGGACATTCGACTCATTAGATTAACAAATCGTCACAGACCCCTCACCCAATAAACTGGGTGCCAGGATGTCTGCAAACGACACCAGGCCCCTGGTCACCATGGCAACCAATGCTGATATCACTGGTTTTATGGCCCCAAGGAATGTGGGTAGAGACACTCACTACATTTTCTATAGGAAAAACCCAATGCACCATAAAAATGGACTCTTCTCTAATTAATTCATAGGAAAACCTTTCTTTGAATGAACACACATATCCTTCATGTCATTGTGTATGTTGCTACTGTCCTTGTATATTGCCTCTTGTATTGTATACTGTTTTATGCAGGCTTATGATGGAACCACGTGTGTGTGTGTGTACGTGTATGTTAGACTAGTTTCAGTGTTTATGTAGTATGTTAGACTAGTTTAAGTGTTTATGTAGTTAATAAAGTCTTACTTGTATCACACTTGAGGTTGTTCATTGTTTGCTCATAACTGGAGTCCCTTAATCATGCAGAGTTATGCTACAGGCTCTGTGTAGAATTGTACAGTAAGAAAGTTATTTCCCTTAACCAGGAAATTAACGTTCTTAGATAACGTTAACAGTTGACCCTGAGAGGTCAAGTAAACACTTACAGCGGATCAAAATATTTATATATTAATTATAACTAGTTATGATTAAATATTCATATTTCCCCAATGAGCTGATTCGCTACAAAGGATACAACACAAAATGTGAACAAACAAACTAATGTGACGTGGACTGTTTCTGTATGTTTTTGTAGGTTGTCCGGCTGTATGGTGACAAAGGAGGGATGTTGTTATGTGTCTTCAGCTCTGACTTCAAACCCCTCACACTTGAGAGAGCTGGATCTAAGCTATAATCACCCCGGAGATTCAGGAGTCAAGCTGTTCTCTGAAAAACTGGAGGATCCAAACTGCTCACTGGACAAATTCAAGTATGTTGAGCAGGAAGAGGTTTTAGGCTTTATTGTTTAAACTTTTCAGTATCTCTGCGTATATTTCAACAAACAAAAAAATATAACAAAACAGTACTTTAACTCACCCCTTAACTGGCCACAAAACCGGAGCAAACGGTGAAAACACAAAAATAGCAGCCTCATCCCTACAGCTTCCATAAAAGGTAGAAACAAACATATTCAAAATGATAACTTATGTTGCAAACATTAACAACTTGTAAATGAAGGAACAAAAAAGCCCTAATTTTAAAGGGGACATCGGATGCCCCTTTTCCAGAAGTTGGTATGACTCTTTAGTACTACATACATGAATGGTGAAACATACTTTGGTTAAATTCATCAATGGTTGTGTAAAACAACACCCTTTTTACCTTGTCAAAAACAGCTCTGTTCACAGCGAGCAGTGTTTCTTTAAATGATAATGAGCTACTGCTCAGCCCACCCCACTCTTCTGTTATTTTGTGTGTATTCGGTGGTGTTACCATCAAAAACTAAACTAATCCACTGCCTCCTCAGTGACTCTGATGTCAGGAGAAAATGAAGACTCTTATGTTCTCTTGTACATCCAACTACAAAACACCTGCATCGCGAATCTGAAGTTTCTGTGTAGCTCGATCTGTGTGAGTGACTGAATGTGCGAGTGTGAGCTGCAGTGAAGACAGCGCATTAGTTTAGAACATTTGTCCAATGATCACCTACCAGCAATGTAAAGATGATTTTATTAATATATTAGAATGAGGACATTACAATATAAATATATTAGAACGAGGACAGTATTATTTATGGGCTTGAAAACAAGATGCAAACAATCATAATATTGTACCTGGTCAAGAGTGCCCAATGTTGAAA